GACAATCCAGCACATAACAGCAGGGTGCAAGATGCTAGCAGACATACATGGGACGCCATAACCAAGTAGCCGGCATAGTGTACAGGGAATATCTGTGCCGAGTATAACCTGGAAGTCCCGAGGTCAAAACGGGAGACGCCCCTTAGTGTGGTGGAGAATGACCGAGCTAAGATGCTTCGGGGCTTCCAGATACAGACAGACGAAATGGTGAAGGCTAACCGGACATAGTGGTGGTGAACAAGCAGAGGAAGACGGCTGTAGTGACAGATTTAGCAATCATCAGGAACATCAGGACGAAGGAACGTGAGAAGCTAGAGTACCAAGGGCTCAGAGAAGAGCTCGAGAGGATGTGGAGGTGAAGGTGACGGTGGTCCCAGTGGTAACCTGAGCACTCGGTGCAGTGACTCCCAAGCTAGGCGAGTGGCTCCAGCAGATCCCGGGAATAACATCTGAGATCTCTGTCCAGAAGAGCGCAGTCCTGGGAACAGCAGAGATGCTGCACAGGACCCTCAAGCTCAGGCCTCTGGTAGAGGACCTGAGCTTGGAGGATAAACCGCCTGCAGGGGAGAATTTTTTTGTCCTTAAGACCTCGTGTGTAAAAATAATAACAATAAGAAGGGTTAACAATGGTCAATTGCCTCCAGTTAGATTAAAATTTATTTTATGTGTTGCATATTTTTTTATGTAAATTATTTATCTTTGCTAAACTTTTTCATCAAAATAAACAACAAGATGTCACAAAACACAGTGTGTTAACCAAATTAAAAGTGTGACAAGCTAAAATAGTATTTTTGGACCTGAACTATCCCTCCCTGTTCCAGGTCTGCCACAGCTGAAAAGATTATTGATTATTTGTGCGAGTGCACGTGTATAGTTGCAGGAGTGTTCCTTGCCTTTTGAATACTGGGCCCTGAGTTGTGTGCTTAATTAATCAGTGTCTTTCTTTCTTTCTCTCTTTTGTCATTTGCGAGGTTAAACTGGCAAACTTATGGGGACCCGTCTGTCTCTGTTCTGCTGTGTTTGGTAAAGGGAACTGTATGTTAGTGGAAGCTCAGTATGCGTTCCCTGCCATTTGTGTCTCCTAGACTTAAAACTTTCTTTTGTATTGGACAAAAGAAAAGGTGTCAGACGATGAACAATATCTGCCGTGTCATTAAGAAGCAGGAAAAAACCAGCAAAGACGTGACACAGAACCTGAGAGATGCATTTGGCCCTTGAGTTGTTCGACGAAACTTCATCATTATTTGAATCTCTGGAAATGTGGCTGTCAGGAAGCTATTCCCTGACGAATGGAACCATGGAGAATAGGTTCAGTTATGCCAAATTACACCAGAACTGTAATAAAAATCAGTAGCAACTTTAAAAAAAGTTTAATTGTGAATGCCTGCTCTATAACTATAAACTATGTCCAGAAAACAGCTTCCAAAATGCACATGTTATTTCACCCAAATATGTTCTTATAATGTTGCTTCATGCAGGTGATATAAACAAGAATGGTGAATGGACTCATTCTTATACAGCTCTTTTCTACTCTCCCGGAGCACTCAAACATGCCACATTCACCCAATCACCCCATTCACACGAGCACTTCCTTCTATGCGTTTAAGTGCTTACTAAGCAACATTCACACTCACTATACTCCAATGGATGCATCGGAGAGCAACTTGGGGTTAGTATCTTTCCCAAAGATACTTG